TCATCATATCTGCACAGAATAAGTAATCTTTATTTTTCTTGTCATTCTGTCATACTCATTTCATTTCTCTGCCATTTTCATGTTTTCACTCTTAACATTTTCATTCTGTATTTCCAAAATTGTTGGGTCACGTGTGTGAAACAGCAGTTCCATAAATACAAATTTTTTTCATCTGCACCTATCAAGCAAGCCAAAAAGAAAAAAAGAAAAAGAATGTATGTATAAGTTTAAATAGAGATAAGACGATACAACCAAGTGATATAACTGTTGTACATCATCATTGTTTGACGTCTGAGTAAAGTTCACTAAAAAGATAAGGAACGGCTAAAAAAAAAAAAGAAACAGAAAAGAGGGTGTTGAAAATGTTGCCACTAATTCCGCTTCTCAAGCCGGAATTGAGCGCTTTTGCTTGTTGCAAACGAAAGCTTTTCACAAGTAAATCATAAATAAAAACTGTGTTTAGTTAACAAAAGTTAACAAAACAGAGCAATAAAGACATAAGAAAAACAGTAGAATTGTTTACTATTCAAAAAGGTGAAAACACCCAAAAGTCAATAAAATTTTTTTGCTTTTTTGTTTTTCTTCTCTGAAACTGTCTTAATTAATGATATTTTTTTTATTTTTGTTCTTACAGAAACAATGATTATTGGTACGACGGTGAAAACAACAGTTATAACTGTGCCGGATTTGTACCATCAAATCGTGAGATACAGCGCTTGAATCACTCCGTTGATTCATCTTGTTGTTCATTGAAGCCAATCATTTCGCTTCCAACAAATCCACCAAAAAGTGCCCCACCAACTGGAGGTGGACCAACGCCGGTGGATAACATTGAAAATCAACCGTCATCAAGTGGTGTCAACGACGTTGAAGTAGTTGCTGCAACTGTTGCAACTGTTGAGCATAATAAAACCGCCGAAGGACGCTGTGAAACATCAGAAAGTACAGAAATTTTAAGTGAAAGTCCAAAAGATGGCGATGAATCCAATGATCTCATCAATAATCGTCCAACAGATCTCAATTTTACTGATGCCAAATCTGCAACCTGTGAAAGTGATGTAAGCGCTATTAGTATATTGCTCTCAGTTGGGTTATGCAACTGCATTTTTGCAACTGCAACTCAGTGTTTTTGATGAACTGCTGTAGTTGTTGACTTAAAATCATCTATTATTAATCTGTTTAATTTTTTTTAAAAATTTTCTTGTTTATTTGTAGAATTTTTACAATTAATTTGTCTGGAAAAAAAAACCGTTTTCTGTTATTTTCAGAAACCCACTAACGAAGTTAAGTTATGTCAATCATATTCAACACCGGGTACCGTCGTGGATAGTAATCTTAACGCTGTTAAAAAAGTAATTGATTATTACAAAAAAAAAATGACTTTTTTCTACTATAGTTATTTTTTTACATAGTACGTTCTAGCTTGCCTTTCTTTTTCTTATCTAAAGTAATTAAGAAGAAAAAAAGTTTTACAAAAAGGTAATAGTAAAGCACATTATTTCAAGTTGTTATTGTTTTCGCTGCTACTAATTCTTATGTTTTTGTATTTTCTTTTGATTAACGTAGTGGAATAGAAGTATATTTAATCTGCTCAAACTCTGCTTTTTTTGCTTTCAAAATTTTTGTTATTATTGAATCTATAGTATGTGTGTGTGTGCGTTTTTACAGGAATCTGAATATCGAAGATTTAAAAGTGAAGGATCTACAGTTGGCGTATTTTCTGTGCCGGCACCAGAAATGGAAGTTTCAATAGATGATTTTTCGCCGATACTTGATCATAAAATGGCGCTACCAAATAGGATAACATTAGAGCAACCAAAAGTACAAATTATAGAAAAAAATAGATATATATATTTATGTATTTACCAAAAAAATCACCTTATTTGTTGTTTGTTTGTTTTTGATTCACTTTTTTTTTTTTTTTTTTTTTTTTTTTTTTATTTT